AAGAGGTCATCCCACCTCCACTCGCTTGAAAATAATTGTTTTATTGAATTTTATTTGAATTATAGTATATGAAAATTGTCAAAATAATCAATTTTCAATCCCCATAACTTCTTATGGGAGTGAGACCGCCGCAAATGTTTTATGGGGTTTTACTTTCGATCCCCCCCACCCACCTCCATCTAACCCCCATGACTTTTTATGTGTGTGTGTGGGTGTGTGTGTGTGTGTTATCTGAGTTGGTTGGATAGGTTGCCCCCGGTTATTTATATCTGACGTCCCCTACCTTATCAGTATTTCTTCACAACCTTCCTCTATAAAGTATTAGTAACAATTAAAAATAACACAATTGTTGCAAAGGGCATTTATTTGGCCACATTCTACGAATTTTTCATCGGTATTGACGCAGAAAATTAATCAAATCCGAAAACTTTGAAGTTCATACCAGACTATTTTCTGCTAAAAGCAATTTAGTTATTCGCAATGTAATAGAGTTATGTGGGTGTAGGTATATCTTCGACGACTTTTTTGTTGACTTTTTGACTTAAGTAAAAGGTTATAGAAGAAGCAACATCTACAGTCTCGAGAAATTCCTGAAAATGTAGTCACTCATCTATGAAGTTAGTCGTATCAGCAGGTAAATTAGTTTTATAGGTATAATTGAACCAATCTGGGTTCTATACTAACCTCAAAATCATAATTCTGATGAAATTGCAACTCAGATACCTACATATACCTAGTCTGCACTGCATTTTGGATGAAATATTTACCGGCCTTACAATTCTGCCACCCCTACAATTCCGCCGCCCCGCCGCTTTGGGCTGTAACCTATTTAACCCATACGTAAGTATACCACTGACAGTACCCACAAGGTTATTAAGCACTTAAAAATTATATATAGATTAATGTATCCACGTGAACCCAGCAGCAATGTCTACTAACGATCCGATGTTAAAGTTTAATTTGTATGTTGACGTGTTGCCGAAAAGTATTTTATTTATTTATTTTCCTCATTGAACCAAAATGTTTACGCCATTAGCTCTTCACCGAACTTTTGCTAATTCGGCGGCTATTTTCAGTTGTTGCGATGAGTTGGTCATGCGCACATCGACGAATGCCGTTCAGGTCGTCATCTCATCGGTAAAATGTTTCAGTAAAGAAAGATAAGTCCCAAGCCGTTTTAAAATCACTTGGAGTAAGTTGCGAATTTGCACCTATCTAAATTCATATCTTTCGACAATGTGGTTCAAACTAAATTTCTTCACAACAAACTTTTGAATCGATAGCGAAAGAGACACTCGAGCTTGAAAGGAACAGAAGATGTTCCGATAGCGAATCACGTGAAGCAAAAACAACAAGCACCTTCGGCTCATTAGATAGTCTACTCTAATTTTATTATATTTATTTAGCCCGTACCAATTCTACATTCTATGTACACACATATTTCGACAGTAGTTTTCGAATTGCAAGTGGTTTATCGTCAGTTTAAGTCGGACTTTATTAGCTGCACTTGTGAATACATTTGGTTTTTTGTTTTAACGCTTTTGATTGCGCCTTTTCAAAAAGAAATATATCCGCCGCTAGTGGTTTTCGTTTAAATGTTATGGTTGAAGAGGCTTGTGAGGAGAAATTAATCTCAAAGGTAAATAAGTTTGATGTTGTTCACGTTATTAAATAGCATTAAGGGGATTTTAAATGTAATACTTTATTCAATCCTCAATTTCCTGAAAGTTGGTACTAAACGTTCTGAGGAGCTCTCAGAATAAATTAAAACATTAAAAGGAAATAATGTAATAAAAACCTTAAATAAGATATATTAAAAATTATCTATATATATATATACTTGTCAAAAAAAAAATTGCGTTAATAAATCTGAGTAGCGAAATTCTTAGATCTTTGCCTATGCATGATCCTTTGTCTATCCTTAGTATTGTGAGAACGTAATTTTTAATATTCTCAAAAGTTAATTCTATAAGCAATTTAATTAAGAATGTCTTTAAAAAAAATCGATTTTGTAGATAGAATGAGATTGAAATTTAAAAGATCGATTCTCAGAAAGAATCGTAATAGGCAAGAAAACTCGATTTCTTGAAAATCGATTGATTTTTTCCAACCCAGAGAAGGTTTCTGTTTCACAGAATAATGCAAAAATCCTGAAAAATTTCTATCAAAAGTGTAATTTAAGAAATACTTCATACCAACCTAAGGAGTCAAAGAAAGGAGGTCAAGAGTACAGGCGCAATGTAGGTCATAATTGCAGAAGTTTTTTAATTTTATTTTCGTCAGCTAATGGATCATTCTATTTGAAAAATTTGGTGAAAGTTAAGTGAAAAACAAGTCGTGATTAAGTACCTACTGACTTCTAAATCTCAAACAATACACTCATTTTTCTCTGTCACTTCTATTGCTTTTTTAAAAGGAAAGAAAGTTTTCCAGAACTGGCAAAAGTTGCACTGGATATGAAGGAACAATTAACAGGCATTTTTTGACAAGTATAAATGACCATTGGCATGGATTAAGAAATTGATGAGTTTTCTTCTTTAAAAACAATTAGTTATGGACAAAAAACATTCTTCTTAAATTCACTGATGTAACAATCCAAGAAAGAAAACAAGTAGATAAAAATTTTGAAATATCCTAACCTTAGAATCTGAGTGATGCTAATGTGGCATGTTTATAGTTTTGAGGATAAGGTGCCTTTAAATTTCAATATTCCAGAGCCTTTCTGGAATCAAATTCAACATCAAATTTATTAGTAACCAGCTTTTCCTCACGGCTTCGCTCGCAAAAATTAATATTGTTTCTCCATAAAACCTTTTAACTCCCAATTCACCCTTACACCGTTTTAATTTTATGTAATGTCGCCATCTTAGATTTCAAATACAAACGTAGCAACAACATTTCATCCTTAAAGGTTGATTTTTAAAAATTGCCAAACCACGTATTTGCTTAATTTCAACAATGAGCAACCTTCGAGTAAATCCGAGTACAAATAAAATATACCCCATGGAAACGTTGCAACCTCTTTTCATTTGATTAACAATATCAAACAGCATATATACCAAGTTTCAAGTAACTTCAACCATAAATAAAGTATGTCCCAAACAAAAATTGCAACACCTTTCCCTTTTTTAAATTGTCGAGATAGATCTTTCAGAAATTAAATGAGAGACCATTAATACAAAGTATCAAATAAATCTGATCACAAATAATATATGTTCCATTTAAACATTGCAACTCCTCTTCACCACTCATCCCCCCAACAGAGATTGAATTTTTTAACCGATTTCAAGTAAATTGGACCAAAAACAAACATGCAATCTTTGCAAACCCCTTTCAGCTTCCTAAAGAGGTAGAATTTTTGTAAAATGTTGAAATAGGTATGTGCGTCATTAATTTTATATGAAAAAGCATTAAAGCCAAGTTCCAGGTAAATCTGACTATAAATAAAACATCGTACTTAACCTAGACAACATTACGTTTAGCTGTCAGTTGCGTTTTGTTATTCCATGTCTGTTGCGTTTTGTTATACCATTTTTAACAAATGAACGGGTAGATCGATGATTTGATTTATAAATTTTTCATTTTGCTGTCAATTTCGTTTTGTCATTCTATGTTAGTTGCGTTTACATATACCACATTTTTCTCGTGGAACGTGATAAAAAGTATCCTATATGTCCTTCTCCCGGTTGTAAGCTACCTCCCCACCAATTTTCAGCCAAATCGGTTCAGCCGTTCTTGAGTTATAAATGGTGTAACTAAGACGACTTTCTTTTATATACGAGTATATAGATAGATTTCAGTTATCAATTTAAATTGATTTTCCAAAAGAATGTTGAAAAGCAAACATGAAATAAATCCATACTTTTGCATTATAATTATTCATTATTTTAATAAGGAAATTGCACCTTGCACGTGCCCTTTGCTCTTTTTTGTTGTTTCCATTTTCATTCCCTGATTTTGTTGACTTGTGTTATTAACACAGCATTTTTCCCTTGTCGGCTCTTGGGTTCCAAAATATTATACAGTTGCAAACAAATTACTGGTGTTGCTAAAAGTAAATTCCAGTCGCTAAAGAAAATACAGATACCTACATACAATACTGTACTTTTAATTTCATTTACAATAGTAAAGATAAATAGACAAATGCGGGATTCGGTCATCCGACCTTTTATGTGTTATTTGTTAATAACTGTTATGTATTATATTTGCAAATCGAAATGGCGTTTCTTCTAATTGCGCTTTTTGCAGTAAATGTCGTTTAGGTAATACCAATAAATATTCGCAAGATAAATAAACAAATACATTTAAATAAACAATACGGCAGACACCGCTTTTGTTGAACAAAGAATCCGTTTAAGCGATTGTGTAAAATAGATAAGCAGCGATTGCAAATGCAAATAAAACAGTTAGCGGACCCTAAAGGATTTCCTTTTACCATATTAAATGGAAAGACGTGGGTTCATATAATTGTTATTTTATTTATAAGGGTTTTTATTCGGGTTTATCGAACAGTAAAATGGAGGTCTCGTGGAAGAAAATTGCGAAACATGCGAATAGAAATTGGCACGCCGTCGATCTTCTTTGAGAGTAACCGGAGCAGACTTTTGTGAGAGCAAAATTTGTATTCTTAGTACGATTATAAGCAGGAAAACGATTGAATTTCAACTGGGACTGTGGACATTCAAAATCACTTATTTTGTGATCGTTATTTTACAAATCACCTCGGAGGAGTCAATAAAACGCATGGCGTTTTATCGGGGAATTGAAATTGCTCTTTATTAACGTAGGGTCTTATTTACTGTTATAATATTGTGGAGGTAGATGGAGTAACGTAAGCACTTAAAAGCCATATCAACAAGAGTAGCAACTTGTACAGTGACATTTCACCATCATCATTTCATATTTAATAATAACATTCTATGTAGGGTAAGGATGAGATACCATTTTTATTTTTAGCCATAAAACATAAATTATTTATTGCACTAATCACTATAAAATTTGCAATATTCGATTGGGCATTTAACAAAGTTTATATTTGAGAGACCGTTTAGTTTTAAGTATAATAAATTTTTAGTATGTCAAAAAATATTAAAAAGTTCAGAAATGACGTCTCAGGCAAATGTTCCCCTGTTATGAGATACTGAGGGTTGCTAATATGAGATAGTATCTCATATTAGGTTCTTTAGGGTTTGAGTATAGATATAGAGAAAAAGGAAAGAAATCAATTTAAATTAAACTTTTTATTGACTATATTCTATAATTAACAACATCATACTCCCAAATAATTAGGTCTAAGTACGACTTAATATATGTATGTAACGTACATAGATATAATG